CACGTTTATCGTGTCGGCCATTCTGACGTCTTGTACTTGATGTAAATGTATTACGATGCGCTGTCATTGTGACTGTCTTACTGAGGTAGTTCTTTACAGAACTTTCTCATCTAATGAGGATATGATTTGAAAACATGTGCTGCATATAGTAAGAGGTTTCTGAAGAGCAAGTTGTGCATCCATATGCTCATGTCACCTCTCTTTTTGAGGAACTATTTTATTCCGCGATATAGCTGGTTGTTGTATGGCTGTCAGTGTAAACATGAAGTCACACATGCTAAATATAATTGTGTTTAGATCTAGGCCTACATCCTTTGAGGTACAAAATTGTGATAAAAAAAATTTATAAGAATTGACTTTCACTTTGTGTGAGTTCACTGGTGTATGAACCTTCATACTCCAATGAACTCACACAAAGTGAAAGTCAATTCTTAAATGACTCATTTAATAAATATGTTTTTTTTCCATCTTGGAACTGAATGTTGGAAGGCTTGACATACAGATTAGACCCTAGCAACCTGTTTCTAGGTAGATGACATCACAATGGCATCTTCATGTCATCACATTCAATTGTGATGTCATTGTAGTGGTTGGTTGGATGTTATGGATATTGAAGACATTCAAATATTAGATGCCTTTTATTTTGAAACTTTCAGTCCATAAGGTCAGTAACAATGTTGCCAGTTCTCACATTCTAGAATTACAGATTGTTCAGATACTTGTTTGCCTTTTTGTGTAAGTTACATGGTCTGAGTAATTTTGTCAACCACAATCAAAGGAATCTGAAATTGTTCATGCTCTGAATGTCCTTAGAACATACTTTTGTAAGCACAAAAAGTGCACTTGCTACAGGTCCGAGAAAATGTCCCTTTTAACTATGTTCCTGACTTACCATCATTTAGAAACTGAATACATGGTTCTTATTTCTTTACTTGGTGTAACCAAATTGTACAACATTTAACTAAAGTACTCACGGAAATGAAAAAAACCCTGTTTTTTTCGATCTCAGATTTTAAATAAATGCAGTTAATATACAAAATATATAAATATTCATACAGCTCAATTAGTACTAATTGGGCCTTGGCACAATTACAGCGTATCAAAGTTTTTTATGACTTTTTACACGTAAAAGTGTGTAAAAATATGAACAAAACAGACTATCGTGAAACTGAGCATAACCAGGTGTTAGTAGATCAAGGTGAATGTCCATGACCTATGACACCTTGACAACAGGTGAAAACAGGTGCTTGAAACCCACGTGCATGTGAGTTGTCAGTGGTTAGTGATTTGTGAGTGGCATTGTGGGATAGTGAATCATCGTAAAAATATCAGAACGTAAAAGTAACATATTCCCTTCTCAAACAACAACTTACATGTCATTATTATTATGTACATAAACATAGCTGTTAGTTTTATTGTTGTTTTGGTAACTTTTTTCCAGGCTAATTTGCATAATGCCTATAGCCTGTTTCTGCCATGTCAATTTGGACTTAGTTTTATTTTTGAATGTTGAAAGTGCCTACAAATTACCTCCTGTAAAGTACATTTTGTATTGAGCACTAAGATAAAACTAGCAAATCCAGACTAGTACTTTTCCAGTTGTTTTGTTATTTCATATTTACATCTACGTAATGCTTTGTGTCGATTATTATATCCAGCACAAAAAAAATAATTCATTTCCATGAGTACTTTAGGATGATTGTCTTTCTATTTCTAACAGTATCTAAATTAACCCTCATGGTGCCTGGACGTCAGTCAACCTGCATACCGCTCAGTGCTCACTGTGATGAGGTCGTGGTTTCAAAAACGTATACATTGTATCAAAACTGTTACAACGTCTTTATTCTTCACACAATGTAACCAAATTGTATAACATGCAACTCCAGTTGATTGTCTTTCCATCAATATCTAAAGTAACCAAATCCAAAAGATATATGTTTCGCCTAGCCAATGATAAAAGTGCTGGTATTATAAGTTTCCTACTTTTCTACATTAGTCGTAATATGGCAAGAAAAGTCAAGTAAGCGCCCTTTTTTAAAATCAAAATGTCCAATAATTCGGAGCACCTTTAGAATACAGTACCACAACTTTTCGTGAGGACGGTCTCTGCCGTAGGTCACATGTCTCAAAGACAAGCAACCAGTTTTTGTGAGAATCCGTCGGACGCGAACTCGCGACCTTCAGATTGTTAGCCCGACAGCTAACCGTCTGAGCTATGTCCACACTGTAACATAAAGTGCAAATTTACCTAGTCATGCCTATGACGTTACAGAACTGAACGAAAAGGGTCGAATAGGTGACGGACCCTTACGAAGGTTACAGGTAGGCATGGTTTCTCGTGACTTTAATCTATCGACACTTACGAATGATCCTGATGCCATTTGGCACACTCGTCCCATTCCGTAATCTACAAGATACCGAGTCGCGAGGAATGATCCGATATGGCACGAACTGAAACGGCTCCAGGCATCAGACGTCAGACGTCGAACTCGCAAGTACGCATGAATGACGTGTTATTTAATAATTCTTCGGGTGGATTTTGTGACAGAAAAGTGTGGTAGGGAACACTGTAAGGATGATGTGGATAATAGTAAAGAACGAGGGAGGCATGTGCATGGCTAGTGACGACACAACGGTGAGTTCGTTTGTGAATCAGTACTGAAAAAATGTACCCGGTGAAAGTGGCTTGTGTGAATGTTCCTGGACAGTTTCCAGTAGCCAAAGTATTCGACACAAAACCATTTCATTCTTTTTACTCGATGTTTTTGTGTGAAGAATATTAGGAGCCGCTATAGAATCTTTAAAGTTGTAGTTTGCGGGGAAAGCCTCGTTTTGGAGTTTGACATTGGGGTCATGCATAAATATTAAAGGGCAAGTTCACACGGAAATGAACCTATATTTCTTGTACTTTTTCCACATTAAAAGTGTTAACCTAGAAGTGTCATAGACAAAAATATAAAAATATCACAATTAATCAACATAGTTTTCGCATTAAAGCTATTTATATTTTTCACATTTACCAAGTGTTCTATTTCCATAACAAAAACACCATGGCTTATGCCCCTTGCAATATGACGTCATTGGTGCCAATTGATAAACATTATGACGTCATCATGCTTTGTTAGAGCCGCTTCACGTGGTGTAGGTACAGTTGTGTGATTCTTGCGTCTCAGATGCCAGCTAGCATAGTGTTATGCTGAGTCACCACTGCGCCGGAGTGTGTCGTAGGCCATGTTGTTTTACCGCAAACTGGTACTTGATATCTTTTGCGTTGAGAATAGACAGGGACCCAGTTGAATTGGCACCAATTACGTCATAATCTAAGGGGGATAACTCAGGCCTGTTTAGCTCGAAAAACGAAGGCCTCATAACGGCATATCATTTTCACACTATTGTGAGCTTCCTACTTTCACTGTGAAAAAATGAGTGTATATTTTCAAACACAGGTACTAACTAATTCTAAAATTGCGTTTTGTTTAGAAAAAGAAAGAAAGTAACTTTTGCGTGTACACTTCCCCTTTAAACAATGAAAATATTTCTTTTTATCCCCCGCCCAACAAAGTTCCGTCCGTCCGTCCGTCCGTCACGTTTCATTTAAGGAGCATAACTCAGAAACCGTTCAATATTTTTTCATGAAACTTTACAGGTCTGTCAAGTACATGCTAAAACTGGTGCCTTTTGCTATTTTGGAATTTTAGAAATTTTATTTTTTTACGTTTCTATGGAAACAAGATGGACTTAGGTTCTGTGAGGGTAGGGTTCGTTTCCGGAGCATTCCTCATAAACCGTTCAATATTTTTTCATCAAACTTTGCAGGTCTGTCAGGTACATGCTGAACTGGTGCTTTTTACTATTTAGAAATTTTGGAAATTTGTATTTTTTACGTTTCCATGGCAACAAGATGGACTTAGGTTCCAAACTCTTCTTTTTTTTACAATTTCCATGACAAGTTCCACCTCGGTTAAAAAAGATTAGGGTTTGTTTAGATTTAATTATGTCATAAATTCTGCAACAGGGGCGGATGATATAGCCACGTTAGTGGCAAACTCTTGTTTATCTGCGGAAGACAAACACATTTTTATAGCAAATGTAGGGATTGTGTATGGGCTGGTGACGTGCTTCATTCCGATTCGCTTTATATTCAAGGTATATATATTAGCATCAATTTTGAAAGCTTGTACAGGGGGGTCGCCTTATACATGTGGTGGCTTTATAGCAAATGATATACGGTAATAAAATAGGTACCCAGAAGGTGGATATTGTGAAATCTTACAATTGATATATATCTGATATATTGCTTGCTGATATTAAGGCTGTCGTTTGATTCTCTGGTGTCAGGGTAGTATCGCTATGAGTTGGCGTTTTTGGCTTTGTTGATGTTTGATCCACTGAATTAACTTGCTGAACAGCTTGCTGATATTTAATCTCACCTTTTCCCCTTTGGCTTTTTCTTAGATTGGCCATTTTAGTTATGATTTGAATGGATTTTGCTCGGGAAGTTGCTATGTGCTACCTGTCGCCACGAGTGCCATCTGCTATCAAACTTCGACTACACAAGTTTAATATGTCTCCACAGCGCAACTTGCATTCCTTTTTGAGAGAAGGGAAACCTGGTCCATATCTTAAGTGAAAAATGAGTGATGGCCAGTGAAAGTTGAAAGTGGCTGGTAACTTTTAAGGTTAGCTTGCACTACTGGCCAGCAGAATATTGATACTATATCACACACTGCATACATCCTTTGAGGTACAAAATAGGGATATAAAAAATCATAAATTAACTGTCAAATTGTGGGAGTTCATAGAAATATGAACCTTCATAGAGTGAGGGCCAAACATTGTATGATCATTGTGGCAAGCACAGACCACTCTTTGAAGGTTCATACACCAGTGAACTCACACATAGTGAAAGTCAAACCTAAAATTGTGTTGTTCTCAATGTATATGCCAGATTTATACCCTGGACAGATATATTGCTTACGTTTTGCTACATATATCTCCAGGAGAAGAAGAAAGCCAGGAAAGCACTTGATGCCAAGAAAGTTACTGAAGGCAAGCTTGAAGAGGAGAAAGAAAAGTAAGTTTATAGGCTGGGGTACTAGCTGGGTTGGGTGTACTCATTCAAATGCCACTTCATTTTTCTCTAATTAAGCCCCCTATTAGGTAGCCTGCTTAATATGTTTGTTCAAATAAGAGCTCAGTCACCACTGCTGCGGTTGGTTTTCTCAACCACACGCATGTGACAGATCTCAGAGACTTCATACTCGTATTCTTCATATATGGGGAGTATTTCTCACATTTGATTGGATGACATTGACCATCAAAGACACTAAGTATGAACTAGCTCTTATGAAATAATCATGTCAACAATTATTCAGAGATTAAGTATATCCCCATTTATGAAAGAGAACAGCTGCTTGACATATTTTCAACAGTTGTTTCACTGAACAAACTCATTCCAGGGACACATTGAATAAGGCAGTCAACATTGTTATACAACATAGCATGCTTAAGTTAAACATTTCATCACTGATCATACCTAGTAACCTATTTTCAATTCTATTAGCATAATCCATTAACATGTGTGAGACAACATACATGATGTATCGAATAAAATTACTAAAGACATTTCTTCTAAATAGTATCAAACCGTACACATGTTACATGTCAATAAATTTGTCACATTGATGATGTGACAAATTTATTGACATGTACCATTCTATACAATGACTAGCACAATGCACTTCCCCCTAGTAATTAGAACCTCAAAATAACAGCAGGGTATGAGCCTTTGAAACAACTAATTCTAACAAACAGATTATGACATCAATTAACCCTTTAATTAACCCCTTAAACAACCCACATCAAGGAAGTGGGGTAAAGGATGTACATTGTTTTCAAGTAGCAGTAAGGCCCCAAGAATAACATGTATGTTCTGAACTAAATAGTCAGACAGACAAACAGACAAATGAGTTTTATTCAAAAAGACTTGGACAATTGGTCCCTCATCTTCATTTCAACATAATAATATGATGATGACAGAGAGCATAACACGCAGCAAAACAACACACCTCTAATTATGGTACATTTTACCATGAATTTGGAATTTACTCAATTCTGATTGGTCATCAGAGGCTATTAAATTACAATAAACCCCCTCTGAAAACAGTTGGTTTGACGGTCGCATCACCGTGGAAGCTAATATTCATAGAATAGTACTATTTTCAGTCATTGTCGGTAGGCATATTCTAATAATTATATCTACAATCTCAGGTTACAAAATGCACAGATGCGGTTACTACAATATTCAAAGGATGTGTGGCAATACATTTCGTGCAGAAAAACACGACAGAAATCAACAAAGGGAATGTATTTATGTTTTGGAGAAAACAGAAAGCTTGGAATTTTGGCGCTTTTCTATAAACGACTGTGATGTCTTATCTTTTACGTCACAATAAGTGATATGACGTCATAATGGTGACGCGCGACGTAGAGCGAAAGCCTTGCAAAGCTTGCTTTGTTTTCTTTAGGGATGCCCACCTCATGTTAGCTTACCAAGTTGACGTGCTTCTATGCTTTCAATGCCTGTCATATGTTCGAGTGAAGTATTACGGTGTACACAAACTGCTTGAGTATATACAGCACCATATTTTGTTCGGTGATTCCGTAATTCAGCTCGATAACCCACTCAAAACACTGAACTCAACCCATGCCCATGCCGCTTCACTCAGTATATTTATCTCTTAATTAATGATGTACTATTTGATGTAATTCTTACGAAATCTCTTCCTCTATTACATCTCTGCCATAAATCCTGTATTTTGGCTTCAGTCACACCAACTAAAATTTTCAGATATACAACAGATGTCCTCTTCACTGGCAATTACACACAACTAGTTGTTGGCAAGTACCATCATAACCACCCAAGCTATGACATATGCAATGGCAGCAATCTCACTTTTTTTCCTGTGTGTGCTAGAGTCAACACCTGTTGTAATAGTAGTAACGATCTAGCACTTGGTAGTAAGTCACATTAATCTAAGATTGTTCTGATAGTTTTCTATAATAACAGACTATAAACCAGAGCTCCAGATAAGCTTTTGGTGTTTTGGGTATATTACCCATGCATTTTAAATCATTGGGTATCAGTAATTCTATCTGGGTATTCAAATTTTTGTTACCCACTAGTTTTTACACATGTGGGTATTTAAGTTAAATATTTAAAAACACTATTCATCTAGTCCCTGTAAACCGGTGTCGTGTGGGTTCGAGAGCTTTATAAGGACTAAAAAATTCCATGATACTTCCACAAGAAAGTGTGATGGCAAATGATCATAATGTAACTGTCATCGGACTTTGGCAAGGTTGACGGAATGCCCGTTTATAATTTCAAAATAAGTTGCTGATTTGCTAATCGAATACGCAGGGTTACTTCACAATATTTTGATGATACGCACAAGTTTTATCATTCTTGCAAAATACTACACCTCTATCACATCATTGGCATAAATTCCTGTTTATGCTGAGAACCACACTATAAATTTTGTATAAACTTTCAACAGACGTCCACTACACTGCCAACATATCCATAGTTGTGAGGAAAACCCTATCACTTGCCATGGACGCCACCCCGCATGCGCAAGGCGGGAATCTAGTCACTTCTTTTCCTGTGTGTCCTGATGACAACAAGGAAAATTTTTTTGGTTGCACATCAGTACACGTGACTGAGTTCCACACTACATAGCACATTGATCTTCTCAAGAATCACAGTCTGCAAGCAGTGAACAGTTCTACTAGAACAGGGGTATAAGAAGATCTGATGATCTCGTAAGTAATTAGTTTATGGGAAGTGTTGGGGGATGAGATCCTCATCTCAGAAACAGACGCCCGTCTGTTCGGGCTGTGGCCAACCCCAGGTCGGTCCGTATCTCGTTCTACCAACGACAATAGGGACGTCGTGCGGGACGACAGTGGACACAGACGTCGTTCCCGTTCAAGTCGGGATGACAGGTCGAGTGCCTTGTGGAGAGACAGTAAACGACATGAGGGCATTCATCGCCTTCGTGGTTGTCGGGAGTACGATTCGGATGATAACTACGATGGGGATCGTAGTACTTCTACAGTTAGAGATCATAGCCCTCCTCCCCACGAGGACGTGCAACGTTCTCGCAGGGAGTTTCTGGGAGTTCAGCGTCGTAGTGAAGATAATGACAGAATGACGCCCTTGTCTCACTTTCATATCGACCCGGCTTTGATAGCCCAGATCACGGCGGCGGTCCTCGACTGTGGATTCGACTGTGTCGGGGGTCCATGGACCGTCAACCAGTACACCAGGGCCCACTTGCACAAAGCGATCTTAGTGCTACGACTATTGTAAGCCTATGTTAAAGTATGGGAGTTACGATCATCTTAGCACTACGATAGCTTTGTGCAAGCGGGCCCTGCTCCTTCATCTACACCTCGACAATCGACGTCGACGATGGATTGTGACGACAGCCCTCCTAGGCCTCCCAAAGACATTGAGTTGTTTGCTTGGCTATCTAACTTTCTGCCTGAGTTATCACAAGACGATGACAAACCGACGCGTGCGGGCTTTAACGTCGGAGATACACCGCAGTCTCTTCAGTTTTCTCCTCCCGATGCCTTCAGAGCCATGGCTCAAGATATGGACCAGAACTTTGCCTCTGCTCTGCCTGGGCAGAGTTTCTGCAAGCCGCTTGGTCGATCTCATTACCCGATTTATGGCATGCCCTTTTCGTCACCCATGAGTAGGGACTTGGATTGGGGGCTACTCTTCAAGAAACCAGCGCCCTCCAAGATTCTAGTAGAAGACAGGCATTTGGAATCCATGGACATTGCTGTTCGTCACCAGCTACAACCGCTTGCTATGCTGTCGACAGCGATCGAGGCCCTCTCAGTGTACTTTGAGGAGAAAGAACCCCAGGTCAAGGACGACAGGACGGTGCCATCGGTCCTCACCTGTATGCAATGGTGGATCTTGGACGTCCTTGTTCAGTCCCGATATGTATCGGGCCAGATAACAACGGCATCGACTGCACTGAACTACCTGATTGTCACTCTTACGGTCCCCGTGGTCATCGCAACAGTTGTTTCACAGTTGTACCAACGAAGTTCTGGACAAGTACTCCAGGGAAGCCGAGCATGACATCATCATTTCGTCCAGACCGGTTTAGAGCGCCCCACGACGACGTTACCGAAACGAGAATGTGAAACAGGCTTTTCGTAGGGACATGCCTCGACAGCCGTCCAGCAAGAGAGATTCGGACAGGAAAGGTCGCCAGGTCTCCTTTTCCAAGTATCCCAGAGGGGGAAAGAGCCAGCGGGGAAGGAAGTGAGGTCCCTTACCCCACCGTCACCATCGTTGGAGCCTTCCCCGGGGACACTTCCTTTAGACGAGCTACCGGTAGGGGGGAAACTTAATCACTATGCCCACAAGTGGGCTTTCCTCAACGACCCTTACGTTCAGAACATTTTCACAACAGGCTACACGCTACCACTGACTTCATCCCTGATATTATACACTCCACCAACGGATCGGCTGACGGAGGCCATCGATTCGTTGGTGGAAAAGGCGGCTGTACTTCGCTTAGGGACATCGGCACCATCGCCGGGGTACTACTCGCCCATCTTTCTAGTACCCAAGAAAAACTCCACAAAGATTCAGCTTATTTTCAATCTCAAAAAGTTCAACGCAACATACCTCCAACAACCCGACACATTCACCATGATATCCCTCATGGGCGGCCCTCCTGTTTGGAATTTCTACGTCCCCATGCTTTTTCATACAGATCATGAAGCCGGTTGTAGAATGTCTCCATCGGCAGGCGATCAGGGTCACCTTCTACCTAGACGACAGGCTCCAAGCTCACCAGTTCACCTGCCGGGCTGTGGTTGCCAGAAGAAAAGGTCCTCTACATCAACTATCTCGAGATGGAAGCAGTGATTCAGGCGGTCGAGTTCTGGAAACTTCGATCCCGTCGGAAACGGCTGATGATAAAGTCGGACAACTCCACAGTCATCCACTGCATCAACAAACAGGGAACGACTCGGTCGGCA